TTGGACGATAGATAAGAGTGATGCATTATTATTGTCAAGCCGGTCTTCGTTGTGAATATAAGAAATTTTATGATATAAAAGACAAGAATAAAAAGACAGACGCCATTTTCATAGTATTTTTACGAGAAAAAATAATTCATTTAAGAATAGTTTCTTAATTGAAAAAGTATTTTTTTTTTTTTAAAATAGATTGTTTTGGGGGGAATTTTCTTTTTTTTTACTTGAACTGTCGCCAAAAAAACGAATGACTTTAAAAAAAGAATCCAAAATTTTCTTTTCTTACTTTTATTTCATTTCTTGGTTTATTTTAATTTTATTTTATTTTGTTTTATTTAATTTGCAACTTTTCTTTAATAATGATAATTCAAAATAGTTTTAAAAAAATAATAAAATCGTTATAATACATTTGTTTAAGAAAAGAAATTTGTTCAGATTTATGGGGAAAATCTATTTATAAAATTTTATTTATTTTTTGTAGTTCAGTTTTGTTTCATTATAATTTTTATTCAGTATTTTTAGACTTCTTTCCTTTCCTTACATCGTTGCTTTCTTTTTTTTCATTTCTAAAATAAAAACATTTTCTTTTTTTATTTATTTTTTTTTCTTTTTAATTATTTTTTTATCTTTCATTTTCTCTTTCTTTCAACTTATGTCAGCAAATCTTTCTATCTTCAATATCACTCGGTCCGATATTTCTGGGTTTTTTTTTGTTTTTTTTTTTTTTTTCTTTTGATTACTTCGTCAATTTCTTGAAAAAAAAGCTATATTTTTTTTTTTTTAAAATTTCTTATATTCTTTTTTTTTTAAAATTTATATATATTTCTTAATTTTCACTTTTTTTTTTCTTCCCAGAAGAGATTTTTATAAATTTCTTAGGTTTTTTATTTGAAAAAAAAAATATTTGTTCTTCTTTTATTTCTATATATATATATATATATATATAAATATATATATATTATATATGAATTTATTTTATTATTCTTTCATACTTTTCTTCTTTTTTTTTTTAGAAATATCCAAACATTAGAATTTTAAATGATATATTTTTTTCTTTTTTCATATTTATTCTCTTTCTATATTGATTTCTTTTTTTTTACATTTTCCTTCTTTGTTTATTTAAAATTTATTTTCTTTTATAATTTAATTTTTCTTTCTTTTTTCAATATTATTCCTTTTTCATTTATTTTTTCTTTTCTTTATATATATATATATATATATATATATTTTATTCATATTGGATTTTCTTTTCTCAAATGTTTTTTCTTTTTCTAATTTTAAAAATTTTGAATTCTTCTTTCATGTCCTTTGCAATCTTTTTAAATAAAAATTTCTTAAAATTTATTTTATATAATAATTTTATTTTCTCATTTATATTTTGAATCTTTTATTCTTTCAAAGAAAATAATTTTTTTTTTTTTTCTTTCATTCTAAAACAAAATGCCAAATGTTTTAAAAAAACCTTTTAAATCTAGGATATCATCACATATTCTTTTAATATTTTTAAAGTTTTCTTTTATATAGAGAAATTAAAAGGTTCTTACTAGATCAAATTTAAATCTTTTTTATATAAATTAATCTTAAATATTTAAATTTATTTAATTTTTTATTTTTCTGTTGGAATATTTTTGGCTAGGATTTATTAAACAAATAAAAAAAAAATTTCATTGATAAATAATGATTCCATATCTACAATGATATAGCAAATATAAAAAATCTATAGAAATTCATTGCAAATGATTTTACTATAGGAATGCATTAGAAATGATTTGAATACTAGCTCTTATTTTCTGGAATATTATGATTAGGATTTATGAAAAAAATCCATCCAAACTTTTCATTCCCTCTAATGATTCCATATCTAGTGATATAGCAAATTCATAAAAACATCTATAGAAATTCATTGCAAATGATTTTACTAAAGGAATGCATTAGAAATGATTTGAATACTGTTCTTTATGGAACCTGGAATATTATGGCTAGGATTTATGAAACAAATCCATCCAATTTTTTTCATTCCTCTAATGATTCCATATCTAGTGATATAGCAAATACTAAAAGCATTTATAGAAATTCATTGCAAATGATTTTACTAGAGGAATGCATTAGAAATGATTTGAATACTAGCTCTTTATAGAACCTGGAATATTATGGCTTATGATTTATGAAACAAATCCATCCAAATTTTCATTATCTAATGATTCCATATCTATTGATATATAAATACTAAAAGCATCTATAGAAATTCATTGAAAATGATTTTACTATAGGAATTATAGAATTGATTAAAAAATTTACTAGAACAACATCTGATTACCTCTCTCGTTTAATTGTTTACCTTTGAGAAAAGGGTAAGAAATAAAGACTCAGTCAAAGTAAATAAATAAATTATCCATAAAATGTATTTATTTTTTATTGGATGCAAATATTATTTAAGTCATGGCAGTTATGTGAAAATTATTATCCCAAATGTTATATCAAATTTAAAAAAAAAAAAAAAAAT